ATATATATATATATATATATATATATATATATATATATATATATATATATACTTCTAGTTTTCACTATGTTATTGATACTGGAAAGCTTCAAACGTTTCATCACGACAAAAGCAAACGAAAACCGATCCAAGAATTCCAACCAAAAACAGCAACGATTTAACAGTTGAGGTTTTTTCTAAATGCTCACACTGTTACTCATCATCATTCTACTTACTGCACCTGACGTTGACCAGATGATCTGTTCCACGCTGATCACCTTCGACCGAGAAATGAACATCATTACACTGAATGTTTTACTATGAACGCAATGGTCATCAATTTCGCTTTCACGAAGCACCTCCGTTCTCGTCGGAGATCGACTATCGGGCCTACTCGAACTGCCCACATTATCCTGCTTGGCAATTGAGCACAAAAAACTTTTAAACAACAGTACTGGTCAGTGTAATTTTCTAGTTGGCGTAATACAGTTTCATTTTCATTTATTCCCCAGGTATTTTTCACTTAAACGTGAAACTTTTCTTTATCAACCAGTCTGATAGTTGAAATACGGAGTTGCTATCCAATTGCTAAACCCGTCAAGCAACTGAGGAAACGCCAATCGGCGTGTATATATTTTTTGTTTCAGTATTCGGTAGTAATCATCTTAGACTCTCAACCCTTCATTCGTCTCCCATGAATCAACCCCTGAGTGGACTGAAATATAAATACCCTACTGATCCAGTTAATAGTTTCAATTTGCTTGGTTCCCTAAACAGACATTGAGATTGGAATGAATAAGGCCGGTGTGAATTGATTTTAGGATTTCACTTGTCTCCCTCCTCTCACCGCTTTCTTAGAACACAGGAAACTAACAATGAGAGAATAGCGTTTCAGATCCTCACTGTATCCCATGAAGTGAAACGCATCTCCTACCCGGTCAAAGGAATTTACTGTAAACTTCTACTTTTCTGTTACAGGAGTACAAGAAAAAAATAATGCGGGTAAGCGGAGCCTTTTGGTAATCAGTTACATTTCTCTTCAGCTCACAATTGACTTTACCTTTAGCCGTAGAAATGTATTGCTTATTAATTCATTTATTATTGTAGACGAGGCACCCACCACCACCACCACCACCACCACTACCACGACAACAACAGCAGCGCCGGTAGCACCAACAACTCCTGGTGAGAAATTTCTGTCGTACACGTGTGTAATTTTGGGTGTTTTGCCTCTTCCTATGTGCCGACAAGTTTGTGTAATGACTAGATCGGTAAAGAATCTGTGGAATGTAGCAGGAAATGGTTCCCACTCAATTATTTCCTCCGAGGATTCACTCCTCTGACTCATATTTATCAGGAGCTACCTTTACGCTACCTGGGTGAAGACGATACTATCTACGAAGATCTACGCTTTGTATTGCATATTGACCGTCTATCTGATGAAACCGCGCCCGTCCGTTTATTAAATGAAGTAATAATTCTTGTCTGACAAACCCAATGAGCTTTCTCTCATCCGCGATGTTGACGTGCACCGGCCGGGGTGGGACCCTATCTGGGGAACTGTGTTAACCTCTACCCTCTAAGTATATATTTATATTATAATAAGTAGTATCTGACTGACTCGAAAAAGCTTCCTTGGAAGCTCACGACTGTTTTGACGGTTCTTATCACTGTTCGGGCATGCCTACTCGGTAGTCTGTTGTCAGTTCTCATACTTGAACTCGGGAAAAATCTCATTTGCAATACCGCGTTTAATTTGAAAGCCATTGCTCTCCTCTGAACGTGTGTTCTGATATTTTAAATAAATCAAACATTCACAAAACACAAAAGTCGTTCGAAGCAGAATATACAGAATATACAACATTTCCTGGGTGATGCTTATGTATATATGTATATATATGCATATATATAGATATATATAAGCGGTATTGTTTTCTGGGACTTGAACCCGAAACCATCGAATTGAGGACCTAAAGCCACATCCCTGATCGGCATTATCAATGATCATCGTGCAGCATAAATGGGTGCTTGATAAGAATTAGAAATTATGTTGTTGCGTTTTGTCTTCCGAAATGTAACACACCTGGTCGTTTTGTTCTATTTTTGTCTCTGCCAGGACGGACTAGAATCAACATTTTCTTGAAGCCTTGTACTAGTAGGTGCAAACCTGTACAGAGTTGACTTTCTATTGAAATGTTGTGGAAAAACCCAGCAACTGTCCAAACGACGGTCAGGACGAAAGAAATAATCTTCAACCGTAAACATGAATTTCAGTTAAACATACCCATTTCAAGCGAATCAATGTTTCATGCACATTTTCCGATCTGTTTTAGCTCAAACTGTGACTCCGAAACCGGCCGTCACCGCGGAACGTATGTGAACCATTTTCGGACTAATAAACAATCCGTTGAACAACCACATATCCTCGCATTGCTCGCTACTATTCGAATCAGATGTTGTAAATTGTTTCATCGATCACCAGTTCTTTGGATTGCTCCTGCAATTTGTTTTAGAGCTTCAATGATCAGATCAGAAGTGCCCTCTCCCGTTCCGCTGTGTTTGTGTATTGATGACGGAAAAGCAATCGGAGATCATCTGTTTGGGACACTTCTGTTTTGTGCAATCGAAGTGTATCAGATTGGAAACAGAATACTCGAAACGTTATTCAATTCTTGTAAATCATTATTCTTGATTTCCCTGGCCTGAACTAAAAGTACTCCAATGGTGGTCGACTGCTGTGCTCTCGTCCGGTTCAATACCACGCCTAACCGATTGGGGCCTCATGTGGTCCGAGTCCCGAGGCTTAAGTTGCTGGTTTCCACCACTGAACAACAGGTTCTCGTAACTATGGCCCCGTCTGCTGTTTATCACACTTAGGTGTGTACTCAAAAAAAATCAAAAAAGAGAAATAGATACCACCACGACTGATTTGAAGGAGAACATTGAAAGACTATTTCCTCTCGCACTTGATTCCGAGACCGAATTAATTTCGTGCAATTTAGAAAGTTGGTTTTGATTAAAAACATCTTACTGGGTTCTTTTCCTATCTGCATAAATAACTAAATAAAGACGCGATTTTATGTCTCAAATGTGATATAACATTGGAGATGTGGTGACTGGTATTCAATATTCATATATTTGGATCTGACGATTAACTTTTCTGTGCCGGTCTTTGGAAAATCGAAATATACTACTTCCTTATTGGTCGGTAACAAGTAATCCATAGTTATTAATTCATTGATATTAATTACCATCTTTATATTTATTGATATTCTTCATTATCATTATTACAGTTAATCCGAGTCCAAACGTAATACCCACACAATGTAAGCTCCGAAAATACCAGTTTAAGCATTACCAATTCCAAAGTGTGCTTTTAGCTTGTGCTCCCAGCTATCAGATCCAAAATTTACGATGGCCATACGCAAGAAGATGTTCGGGAAGAAGTAGACTCATTTTTCAGTAGTATAACTAGCTTCCTCTTGTGGTCCAAGCAGATGGTTCCTTCCACAGAATCGATCGTAGGTAACTATAACTGGCTGATATGCGCTGGGTTACCTAGAACCACAGAGTATTTGAAGACAACCGTAGGTGGTTGGCTAGATATTGCGAGAAACGTAAATTTCGAAGGACGAGATTTCGAATATGTTCACTGTCCTAACCCGGAAAAGCAACTACAGTCTCAGAAAAGTGCTAATTTGATTTTAGACGAATAGTAATGGGAAAAATGGTATACGGACTGGGAAAATCAGATTGGTGCAGAGTAAATAACGAACGCTGGTTGCAAGTGGAGTAGTTTTTATCATCTTTTTCTATCTACTTTTTTCTCTTCATCATCAAAATTCGGCACTTTCAACTTAGCATTTAAATATCACTTTTGAAGCCCACATTTCAATCTCTTGTTTCCAAGTCTCATACTAAATTCCACCGTCGTTTGTGCATCAGTGATTCCGGACCCCATTTAGTTTACTTTTTTCAGAAGTAGTTTATGAACGCTCAGTAACTCTCTTGAGTGATAATCAGAACGAGAAAGGGATGTTAGCTGAAGCTATTTGGGTAATAATTCAAAGTATTTGCTTGCTGACCACACATCCGTTCTTCATCCGGAACCCAATGTCTGTTCGGTTGCGGGTTACACATCGTCAAGCTTTGTTTAATGCCAAAAGCTGACCTGTCTGTCCTGGTGGATCAGATTATCTCACAGGTGTCATTTAAACGTGTACCATTCTTTTGTAAAACAGTCGCACTAAATCCAATTATATCCATAAATTCCTGTTGTTGTTGTCGTTGTTGTCGTTTCGTTGTTGTTATTGTTATTGTTATTTTAACGGAAACAGACTTTTTCGTTTATAAACACAAGGAGATAATCCATTGAATGAAAGACATTTAAACGGGTTGAACGGATTTCATCAACACATTTTATTTTGGTTCTATTTATGGTAACTTTGAAAAAGTTAATTTTGTCAACTCTTAACCCTCTCTGCTTCCGTTCTCATCCGAACAAATGATGACAGTTAATGCCATTCAAAATGCCCTGGGATCACAAGGTAAGAAATTCCCGGAACACAGTTCACGTTAACCGGAATTTTTAGATGTTTTTTTATTGGCTTCAGAATACTACTCACGTAGTTGTTCTACATTTCTATCATCTAACAAGATGCCAGTGATCAAACTGCTGGGTGGGGGCCACAGTGATATCAGAGTTACTTGTTTCTGGGTTTGGCAGACACGACTTGTCCATTTGAATCTCGTTAACTGATGCTTGATTTCGCTCAAAGTGGTTTATTCTAGCTTAACAGAAGTCAAAACCCCGGGTAGCACGTAGTCGGCTAATAGCGCTCTAACAGTCGGCTACATTTGAGCTACATTACAGAACATACCGTTTTTATTTTTCCGCCTTATCCTGTCTTTAATCCCCTTTAATCCTCTTAGTTTCATATGGAACTTACTATCTCGCCTTGGACTTCAGCACATTTTGCGCAATAATTAGATCGCACTTAATCAAGGAGTTAACATACCCAAAATTAGAGTTGTTTGATGGAAGTAAGTATTGGAATGAGTCTTTAAACCGAAAAGGGTTATGATAAATGCGTTTTAAAAGTTAGTTTATGCTTAATAACAAATGTAGTTGATATAGCTCTTTGTAGCCGATCGATGCGCTACGTCGGGCCACCTGGGACAAAAATCGCTGAGATTGAGGTTGTTCTGCATTCATCCACTACAAATACATTTAATTGGTGAAGAGGAATTGATTCACACCTCTACCATCTCATATGCCTATATGCGGATCCAGCTTTCACACGACTCAATTTTAACCTAAAAAAACGTAAATTTTAAGGCTAGTCTTGCAGATGAAATTTTAGCGAAACCCACAAAACACCGGCTTTCAGATGTCCTGTTCCAATCCAATTGTTCGTTGTTAAATAAAGATGCATGCAAATCTTGAAATTTTGTACACTCCAACCAATCACTTAGACCTACTTAAAGACAAATTTCCGTTGTGAATTTCAACCAAGCTCCAATAACTGTATCACTTTACCTCACCCAAAAGATATATACAGAAGAGGCTTAGGTCACACAACAGTTGTTATGGATCTCAGTCAAGTACTCTTGAACTGATATCATTGTCACAGATGAGCTCCCACATCTCGAGTCTCGTAGAGTACATGTGTTAAACCTGTGATTGTTTCAGACTTATATGTACGTATGGTTTGCACAAATGTAAACGTTTTCTGACTGGTTAAGGATAACCTGCGGACAACAAGGTGCTGCTGAAGTTTGCGCTCCCATTTCGAATATGAACAGAGGTTGACTGAACGTTTTTTCCACACAATTATTTTCAGATATCTCATTGGATCGGCACAAGCTTTTGTGATAACCGTAACATAAGCTGTTACGTTCGAGTGTTGCACTAAGTAGAGCTCGAAAATCGATGTCCATCCTTTCTTTTCACAGTATACACCCACATATAAATGCCAGTCAAACAATGTAGATAGTTCCTGAGAAATCTTTATGATCAATAGCACCCGTCACACCAATTAGCTTACACAAACTTAAAACATAGTCTCATGAAATCTGCCTAAGGCCTCCCGACATCAACCTACCTTGTCCCCATATTGATTTTCAGATGTATCAATATCCATTCAGGAGACTCTGTTGCTTTTGTGGGTGACTGAATAATGCTGTGGATGGTTTTAAGTACCCCATCACTCTCTTTCACGTGATACGGGACTTGGTTTACATACGGATGCGCCTCGAAATAGCAATTTGGTGTGGCTCTATGCTCAATATTTCAGGGGTTGTTAGGACAAGCCTCGTTCTTCAAGGGCTCGACGTCGTGCTCTATACATGCGCCATTCATACAGTGACAGACCATCTTTAATTATTGCTTCTACGCTCGCATTTGACCCCGTGTTATTTTAAATTACCATGTAAGAGTCCAACCACAGAAGAGTTCTGTGGCCACTTATTTGTTTCTTGTGATCCCTGGAACAACCTTCTGCTAGAAATTACTTCAAAATTTAGATCGCGTAATGAATTTGAACAGGCAAGTCACAAAATTTACACTGCAAGAAGGATTCCTTTCACGCACTATCATGGGTTGCGTACATGAATGCAACGCAACACACCGCAAATTGAAATTCACCTTTGAGGTAGAGAAGGAAAATTCGTTAGCTTTCCTTGATGTCCTAATAACCCGTAAAATTGACGGTTCTGTCCAATGATCTATCTTCCGCTAGAAGACTTGGTCCCGACACTATTTCACTCCAACAGTTTCTTATCAATGTAGCACAAGAGAACCCTGGTTCGAAAGTTCTTCCATAGAGGGAGAGAAATATGTGTGGGGGATACCATAGTAAACGAACAGGATAATATTTATAGTGAAATACGGGAAAATGACTACCCGGAATCTTTCGTTCGTTTTCATAATCGGACAAGAAACCGGTCTCAAGCAAATATCCATCGGGTGTCTAAAAAGTATCCACATTTACGGTAGCAAGCTTGGATTAGACCATTCAATTGGTAAGAGGCACCAGGCACTTGGTGGTCTGTTGACGAGTCCGAAACAGAACGAAACGACTGTCCAGTGCTCCTTCTCGTTATCACAAACATTTTGATGTAAATATCGATATCTCTTCGCCATACGAAGGGGAGTGAAAAATGCAGTTTACCATAGAGCGTATCAAAAACACTGCACAAAGAACTTACTATGCTGCCACATTACGTCTCCATCCGATCACAAGGAGTCTCCCCCCCCCGATGCAAAGATCGTCACCCAGTCGAGTCTACCTCCCACTGAATTTATGCCTTCTGTTGCAGTTGCAACGAAGCATACACTGGAAGAACCGACAGGTCACTGTGGACTATAGAATGGCCGAACTCAGCCCACACCACAGATTCCGACTGCATCACG